TTTGCTACATATTTGTTATTTCTATTATTTTATATGCAGATTTGAGGCAAAATTGTTGTTGTTGTTGTTGTTGTTTTTTTTTTTTTTTTTTTTTTTTTTTTTTTTTTTTTTTTAATCAGTCGCAATATTGATTTCAATATTTTCATCCCAAATGCAATGAATAGGTCGAAAATACATATTTGTCCACTATCAATCTAATATTTTTGTGTCAGAGTTGGTATTGGATATTGATTATTTCTCCGAATTTCAGAGTTGATATTGAATTACTGGCTAAATTTCTAATAAAACTTTTGCTTTATTTTTACCTTCTGCAGATGTCAACACTGTCTTTGTCAAGTGACTCCTCTATTGAGCATAATCAACAAAGCCTTCAAATAAGTAATAATTGTAATGGAACACTACTGAACAAGGGAACAAAAGAAAAAAAAAATAGCAAACATACAGTTCCCTGGAACTGAACCGTGGGTCACGGTTCGGTTCCAGTTCGGTTCCATCCTTCACGGTTCCTGTTCCTATTCCGAAATTAGGAACCGTGAGTGAACAGTTCCAGTTCCGGTTCCGACTGGAACCGTAAGAAACCGAACCGTGTGCATCCCTAATTGTAGGTATGGATGAGTTGCCAAATGCTTAAATATATGGCCAAAATATTTGTATGAATAAAACACATACATAGGAAGTATGGATGAGTTGCTAATTAAAAGTATAAATATATATACTTAAGAAGGCATGGTTTAGTAGCCAATATATTAATAAATATATTTATAATGGCATGGTTGATTTGCCAAAGCATAAGTTAATGGCTACGTGTATTAGATGTTTAAATTTCATCTATAGTTATTGTATGTATAGGTTGGATTAGGATTTGTTATTCTTAAATTAGAATTATCGAGTATTTATAAATTAGTGTATTATTTTATGTATATTAATAAAATAATATTGGAGAAGGCATGGATGAATTGCCAAGGCATAAATCTTTGTTTTATGATTTAAATAAATAAAACCATTCATTAGTGGTTATAGGGTTTTGGATTAAAGGAATTATTCTTTAGATTATGGTTTATTATTTAAATGATTAAATAATTATTTAAAATGGAATTAAGGGTAAAAGGTTTCTCTTTAAAAGAGAAGGAGATTGTGGATTGGTTTAGGTAGGATTATGTTTTAATCTTGATTTAATGGTTTTGAAAATTAATGAACCTATTAATAGATGTGAATGTTATATTGTATATAATTATTTATACATATGTGTATCTTTATTAAACTTAAAACTTTATCAGGTTTGGTTTTGATTAGAAATGATATGTTTGTTGGTTTTCAAAGGCCTGGTAGAGAGAGCTTGCTCGTATGGTTTAACCCACAATTTATTTTTCAAGTTATTAGAAGTTCAAGTCTCAAGGTTGAGGATCCGCAACTGGAGAACTTATCTATTCTTTCTATTTTATTTCAATGTAGGATATTATTACTTGAGTAATTATTAATGGATTTGTGGATAGTGGATTTTGGTTAAGGGGTCCTTGAGTTACGGGATTCCCTAGTTATAACCATTGGCGAGTTGTTAATGGAAATTTTTATTTATTAGTTTTTCTTCAGCGTATTATTTATTCTTTTATTTCATTTTGTACTCTGTGCTTGTTTAAAATACTTTAATTGTTTTGATATCCCTTAATTTTGTGCGCGGATTTGATCAACCCGTGTTCCAAAATCAAGGGGTATCACGGTTGGTATCAGAGCACTCCAGGTTCAAGTGTCCCTAGGGTGTCTTTCGTTGTGTGACTTCTGCGTTGTATACTCTTTTACTTAGATCTTAAGTTTATGATTCATTGTATTCTATTTTCTGTTCGTTAGTGCATCCTAAAGTTAAATCGTTTAGTCTTATCAACAAATGGTAGGACATCAATTTTGAAGATATTTGAGGAGCCAAAAGTGTAGGTGTCAGGATCATATGCTAAATTAGTATGTAGGGAGACAATCTTTTATTGTGGAAACTGATTTAATGGCATAGATCATGAAACACATATGCGAGATAGAGTAGATAACTGAATTGTAGAAAGTTATTACTTCTATACTCAGTATTGTTCAGGGAGGATGAATTTAGTTGCAAAATTGGTTTTTAAGTTCTGTTTTGAGGATTGGGGTGTTCTAAGATTATTTAGATCAAATTAGGTGATTTAAATGGTTGAAATAGATTGGTTAAAATCTCAGAATGCATAATATACATTAATATGCTAAGAACTTGAACAATATGGAATTTTAATCAACTTACATGTTGTGAATGAAGGATTTAGTACTTAATATTATTCTAGCAATTTCAATGTATATTTATGTGATTTTAATCATGTATTGGCATATAATATAATCGTGTATTTATCGGATTTTTATTATGCTTACTTCTGGATTATTTGATGTATAATTATATATATTGCATCAATTATGGATTTTATAGATTTATGCACCATTAAAATAATATGAAGGTATTTTAGGAACGGATTAACGGAAAAGTTAAGTCCTACCTACTTGTGTAATTTAGGGACAGATTAACGGAATAGTTAAGTCCTACCTAATTATATTTATAAGGGAACAGATTAACCATAAAGTTAAGTCCTACTTATTCGTTTCAGGTCAACGGAATAGTTGGATGGTATGCCATTGAAATAATATGGTTGGATAGTTTACTTTTATGTTTGGATAGAATGAATTATATATATATATATATATATATATATATATATAGATATGTGCCACGATATGAGCTTGAGTCTCAGGATCAATGGTTAGGATGGAGGTGTATATTGCCGATTGAGATGGGTAGCTGGATTTAAGGATGTGTGGGCCTTGGTAAAAGGAGGACTCGTGACCACCTTTGTGTGTGTTTTTCATGAGATACCCACTATCCGGTTGAGATTGCCTTAGTCCAGTGAGAGTCTCTAGTGTGTACTTATATTTATCAATTACATAAATATAGAATTAGCTAATTAGAGAGATACAAATATTGAGGTATGTAGACTACAGGGTAAGGAGTATCATAATATAGACTGTCAAGATGGAAGACATGAATGATAGTGGCAATAGCCATCATTACTTCCAAAGTATCTAGTATGTTTGTTATTAGGTATGATCAATAGAGATCATTAGTGTTTTGCAATCACTTTCCATATTAAAGTGGCCGAGGGGAGATATTTTTGCGAATAATATTGTGGGAATACCTATGTTGTGAGGGAAGTTTATTTCCATTGGGCTCGTCACTAGTTAGATGACAAAGTGGTTTATTCGTTATAGCAAGTACATGCAGCAAAAAAGAGTCCTAGATAATATGGGCAATTGGGTCTTTACTCAAATTGTCTCCCATTGGGGAAGTAATGTTGATTAGAAAGGAAATGACATCACTATGTAACGATTTAGATTTTATTTATTAAGCAATAGTCTATTGTTGGCAATGATATAAATATGTATTTTACACCATGTGTGTAAAGGAGTTTTTAGGTGTTACTGCAAAAAATTACAGCAATAGGATATTTTTCCTAACGCATATAAATTGGCGAGGTTAGGTTTCAAATAAATGCAACGAGCATAAATTAGCTCAATATATTCTTAATAAATTACAAGATATGCCTGCTGATTATGAGTATGTGTGGATGGGTTAATTTTCACACGGATAAAGGGAACAATGAATTTTGAAATTAAATAATCAAAGTTTTCATTTTATGGATTCGTGAATTCCGAGGACGGGATTCCTTGAAAAGAAAATACCCTTAAAAAGAATCAGAAAATTCCGAAAAAATGAAAAATGACGAAAAACAGAAACATAATAGTTACAACTTCTCAATTATAAACCATCTTGCAAAAAAAAAAAAAAAAAAAAAAAAAAAAAAAAAAAAAAACCTCATATTTATCAGATTTAAATTGATTTAAATTGATGAAAATGCTTGTGTGTGTATATAATTAATGTGCAACCTTACTTTCTTTTGGAAGGCACATCCAAGTGTGTCAAATCAAGGAAGAGTCTGTGTAGATTAATAGACATTCGCAAACTCTCTCCAGGAAAAAAAAAAAAATCATTACATTGCTTGAACTGAAAATAGGCATGTGGCCGCCGGACCCCAAGAGTTCTAAGATTGAAGATAGTTAGAGATCATATCATATATATGAGGTTAATTCCCACTCACTATCAACTGAGATGGAGAAAATTTTGTTTATTTATTTTAATTACTTTATTTATGGGTTTGTAATTTGTATGTAATTTTACATTGTACATTAATTCCAGTTGATCCTCAATTAGCTAAGTAGAGGTAATTTGCTACAGTTGGTAAATTGTAGGTGTTTATTGCTCCAAAAAATGAAGAAGAGAAGGGTTTAGTGCACGAAGGCCTAAGGAATAATGCATTAGTAAACTTGTATTAATATGTGGTTGTAACTTTTCTTTTCTGAAATCTCCATACATTCAAAGGACAGTTATCTAAATTAAGTATACAATAATCAAACAGACGTTCATAGACATTCCAAATCGAATTCATCCAATCTAATTAATTTTCATCAATTGAAAAACAAATTACAAGGAGTTTTGACCACTTGACTAAGAGAAATTCAAAAACACCAAATTAAAAACTGCTTAGTGGAGCTTTATTCTGGTTTGGTTTGGACTCCACAAATTGGGCATAGTTGAAGATCTTGTCCACAGCCGCAGCATGTCTGTCGAGGAAAAAAAAAAGAAAAAAAAGTAGTCCTTAAACCTTAATACTAGGTCCATGGAAGATATATATATATATATATATATATATATATATATATGGATTATCACTCTTAATTTGCTGACACTAAAGAGATAATAACAAAGAAATTATTTAAACTCTATATATTGAAGTGACCTCAAAGCACAGTCACACACACACACATATATATATATATATTGAAGTAACTTCAAAGCATTCAAGCAAGCCCAGCTCAAATACAAATATGCTAAATAAGTTCCCAACAATATTAAAAAGGCATATATACCTGGTTATCTAAGGGTGATTTGGAGCACGCACAGGAGGAGGTAGGGCAACCCTCCTAGGAGCATTTCCTTTCCGACCACTGCGCTTGATCACGCAATGAGAACAAAATGAATTAAGCTCTAGTCCCCAGGAGGTAATTAAAGAATGAAAATTAGAGTACACCATTTACTACACGTACGTACCCTAAATTATTGAGCTTTATGGTTTCTTTGTATTGAGAAGGAATATCCGTCAATACTGCACGAGCAAACTCTGTCTCTTTCTGGGACTGGGCCAACTTCTTTGACAAGATTTCCGTAAAATTCACAAACTGAAAAGAGGGTGGGGGTGAAGAAGAAGTTAACTAGCAGTTCAGAACAATGATATGTAACAAATGATCGGGAGACTGCAAATACAATCACAAAACTGTTACCAACCTGGAAATTATCAAAGGCACGGCCAGGGATGTTATCACGAAATTCCCTCATCTTGTCCCAGGGCCCATCTCCAACCCCAACTAAGATAATAGACAATGGGAACTTGCTGTAACCGAAAAAAAAAATATAATAATAAATAAAAAATTAATGGTTCAGCAAACAGAAATTAAAAATTGGAGAGCACAGCCAATGCAAGCCCAATCACCTTGCTTCCACAATTGCTTCAACAGTTCTCTGTTCCTGTGGGCTTAACTGACCATGCTTACCAGCAGTTACCTGTGGCAACACACAAGGTGGATGAGATGTTAAGTACCACAAGAAACAATCTGGATTCATTGAGTTCGGGGAGATAGACATTTCTTTTAAGAAATTGTATGCCAGCAACATTAATGTTGTGTTTCCCTAATTAACCAAGTTAGTTTGTAAAACCAAAAATATGTAGTTTAAAGAAACAAAATACAAAGATCATATGTACACAAATATAACAGTCTAAGTAGCACGGAATTAGATATGAGACACAGCTACTACACGACATGGATATGGCGACATACAACAGATACTACACGGACATGGTGACGCAGCAAAACCTAAAAATCAGGACACGGCCACAACGGGCCACTGCTGATAATAAAATTATATATATATATATATATGATGCTGTACTTTAAGACTCTAAACTTTTGCTATCGCACCAAGGAACATTAAAAAGCATGTCAAATTAATTTTCTTCCTCTATTTTTCTATATTACGTTAACATAAATATATCATATTAATTAATATTTTTGTCAGCCGAACAAACCCTTGTCTCTCTACTTACCATTCAAGTCCATCTAAGGTTACTATTCTTCAAGGTCCAAACTGACAGGTGACCATGTCTTTTCATGACTCAATCTTAAAATATATGGATTAGAAAATTTTAATGGTTAAGCAAGACCAGGACGTTCCCCATCTCATATCATTTAGACAAAGATTAACAGATTTAAAGATGAATAAATACCTCTCCATCTGCAATTAGCAATAAAACGTGGTACTTGAAACCACTCTGCTCTACAACAGTCATGGCCATTTCAATGATGGGTGCAAATGATGTTGGTCCTGCAGCGAATTACAAAATGGCACAAGATATAAAAATTAGCTGAAGTTCGAGTGCTGTATAGTAGAAACAAGACCACGGCTGAGCAGAATTTGAACCTGAAAGTCTTAGTTGAGGGACGATTTCCCTGTACCGGCTTAACACTTCCTCAAATCCATTACAAAATCCCTCATCTGGATAGAAACTGAAGACGTCTTGATCTTTTGTCGATGCTGCGAAGTTTTAAACAATAAATCGAAGTCCTTGTACCAGATTCCAAATAAATCAATTCTAGAACCGAAAATAAAATTAAACCATTAGGTTGAGAAAATTACCATCCCCAAATCCAAAACAGGGAATAAAGTTATCATCAGCAAAGTCTGCTAAGGTTTTCCCAATAATAGATATAGATTGTTCATAGGGATTTAAACCATCCCCAATGTCATGTAAACATCTTCCGTCGAATGAGACTTTACCTGTTTACCAATCCAAGTTCGATCAGGATGACTAATCACTACAACTATTCAAATACAATTTAAGCATTCAGATGAGAGAGATATAAGGATTAAACCTTTCCATTGGTTACTTCCGGTGAAATCAACACCGACAATGAGATTACATGACTCAAGGCCATCTTGTGCAAGAGACAGAGTCACCTGCAGAGAGAATTCGGTAAAACTAAAAGCCCATACGAATATATAAGTATTATTTGGGTTAAAATTATAAAGAAAGAGAGTAGTTGTCATCTGTTGTTATAGTTCTAACACACACTCACCGCAGAAATATGCTCCTCTTTTTCGTTATCGTGACGCTCAATCATTCTTTTGATAATCTTATACTCCACCGCATTAGTATTATGAGTTTCCTCGCATCGTATAGCAAGCTCGAGTATGCGCACAACGTCAGCCATTGGAGGGCGCTCAGTGGGTCTAAGAAGCAGGCATTTGCTAGCAATCTCACCGAACACACGTAAACAAAGAAGCGATACGTTCCCTATCAAAAATGGATCAATGATGTGTTCGACTGACCCTGCTTCTTCTGTGCACTTTTGGACCCACTCGTATAGGGTCCTCCTCTCATCCTCCACAGACTCGACTTCCATATCAAATGCTTTCCTTCCCGATAGAACTTCCAACAACACCAGGCCGAAAGAGTACACATCTGACTTTTCCTCCTCTGTCACTGAATTATCCGCATCTTGTGTGTTTTTCTCTCGAACCAAGAAAGAGAAGTTCATCTTTGCATCGCAGTTTTGATCCAAGAGAATATTGGATGAATTCACGTCACCGTGGATAATTGTCTTCTCCTCCACACCTGTATGAAGATAGTTCAGTCCTCGTGCAGCACCGATACAGATTTGGAGCCTCTGCTTCCACGAGAGACGTTGATTATTGATTGTATTGTGGAGACAATCGAATAGGGTACCGTTGGCCATGTATTGAAGCACCAGGATCATCTCAAGCCCATCGCAGTCATAGCAGTACCCAACCAATGACACGATGTTGATGCAGTCAAGCTGGGACTGAACCCTCAACCCCGTGAAAAAATTATTACAGAAAGCATCAGTACCGGTGTTCAAATACCGTTTGACGACAACCTTCCCCATTTTTTCGATATAACCCTCATAAACCTTACAATTACCACCATTCTCAGTCTTTCTTAGGAAGCCATCATTGAAATTGTTCGTGACTTCACGAATCTCTGTCACTGAAAAACTACGACAATGTACTTGTTCTTGCAGCACTGAATAATCAACTTTTATCTTTGAAGGTCTGTTTCTACGCCAAAGCAAACCCCACAACCTCCTCCCCCAAACCTCTAGCAACTCCAATGACGATGAGATGTTTATTTTGCTAAAGTATGATTCCAAACAATTTGAATGATATACAATCAAACTCAATAGAGTGAGTACAAGAATTATACCGGCTGTTGCTATTGCACTTATACTGCCGAAAGCCAGAAATGATTTTTGGTGCCTTGGAGTTGTCGATATCGGAGCATTTGCTGTGAAAATAGGATTCACACCGGCAAGATTGTTGTCGGGGTTGCTCAACTTAAGTATCTCTATGCCTTTGATGGTTGAATCAATTTCTTTAGTGCTTGAAATATACTTGAGCTGCAAAGCTATGATTAGATCACGCCTGCCCAAGTGCCGGTCTCCTTCCATCATGACCACATAGTCCCTGTTTACTGCAGCCCCATTTCTATGGCTCCATCGGATCACATCTGCATCAGCTTCAATCTTCTTATTGTTTATCAAGAGATCAAATTGTTTCTGGCCGCTCTCAGTGATGGTGGGTTCAAGCTCACAGAAATGGAGCCTAACCAGATATCTGAATCCCAAATCTACCGGTAATTTCCATGTGAAGTTGTACACTTGGTTCGTTTGTTGGTTCGAAACTACATACCAAGCTGTTTGGTAAACTTTAGGCGGTGCAGATTGTGTTGGTATGGTTGTGCATGTGATCAAATTGCTTGTACCGACTCGGAAAAGACTTGATTGTAACAAGTAATTCTTGTCAGCAGACCACGTACGAAACATGCCCATATCTTCTTCAGACAAAATGGATATCCCTCCAACATTTAATCGATGAACCATCTCTAGTGCAGTGCCGTTATCAATATAGTATCGAAAGAACTTGTTAGCAACAACACGAGGGCCGAAATCACCATCGGGAGTGTAGTAAAGACCGGTGGGCATTGAGACAATCTCAATTCCATTGATAAAAGCATAAACATCATCATCAGGATATGATGAACAAGTACATTCAGAAGGAGAGAATGTTATGTTGAATACTTGATTTTCTTCAATGTTCACACAAAATTCTTTTGCAAAATAACCAACACCCAAAGCATCAGCCACAAGGGAAGGGCTGAAGTTGCTAAGGAGGGTGTACGGACCAGCTTTAACTGTAAAAACAGCTTTAGATCTTTCAAAACCAGGGTATGAAGTTGGATAAAAGTGGAGACGGATGAATTTTTGACCTGGCTTGAGTTGAAATGTATAGGTGAATGGAGCAGGAGAGATCCGAGCGGTCATGTAGGGAACATAATCGGCAATAAGCCATTGGTGGACAGTTGTTGATGAGATTATGGATTTGCCTTTTGGTGAACCAAATTTTGAACCCATATCTCCCATCCATTCCCGCCCATCAAAAGCAGATGAATTACCGGAGAAACCGCAGTTAACGGCAATGTCATCTACCAAGGAATGTTGGACAGGCGAGTTACACGCGCCGGTAAATACAAGATGGTGGATAAGATAGAAGGTGGTGATGATTCTAAAATGAGAAAGGTACATGGTTTTTTTTGGTTCAAAGTGCAGAATCAAAGAAAATTAACAATACTTCCTCAGGCTAAGAGAGAGAGAGAGAGAGGAGCTCAACTGGTGTGTTGATCCATCAAGGCGGGCCAAATAATATATAGAAGACTACGAAGACTTTTACAAAGTTTAAGGATTTTTTTTACCAGTCTTCTCTACCTACCCGAAGTTTAGCCTAGTTATAAATAAATTTAGATAATGTTTAGTTACTTGTTAGTTAACAGGAAGAAGTTACTCATCTTTACGTGGTTCAATAATAAAATAATATATTATATTTAATAATAAAAAAATTTACACTTAAAAATATTATATACATTTATTATTTGATAAAGGTGTGAATTATTTTATTGTTAAAGGTAATGTATTATTTTATTATTAGACTACATGAAAATGAGTAGTTTTACTATACTAACTGGTGAGTAATTTCACCGTACTCATCGTTGAGTAGTTAAGTTTTGTCTAACAAATTTGAGATTGATCAATATTTTTACCAAAAAATGACCTTTATCAAATTTAGTTTTGATTTTACCCATATATCCCTATTATAGTATACAGAAGACGAAGACTTTAAGAACGACTTTTGCAAGTGTTCTCTACCTACCTGAAGTTTGGCTGTAGTTATAAATAAATTTGAGGTTGATCAATATTTTTACAAAAATCTCCTATATCAAATTTAATTTTGATTTTACCCATATATCCCTGTTAAAAAAAATTAAAATATCTAACAACGTAAATGACAAATTTGTCCATATTAAAAAATATTTTTTCTCAATCTTCTTCCCTTGTTTCATGTCTCCACCAAATTCTTCTTCCCCCGCCCATTAATCTGGGTGACGTGTGTGTGCATATGTTGGGTTCCGATTTGTTTTAGAGCTAAATTTGCAGAGACAATAGAGTTATACGACGAAGGGAGATAAAAGGGATGTGGGGTGTGGAGAATGGGTGGGCAGTGGTGCAGGCGGCGATTGGGGTGGGGATGGACGGTGGTTTAGGCGGTGAAGGGGGTGGACGGTGGTTGAGGATGTCGGTGGTTTGGGGCAGACAAAATCAGTGTGTCTTAAAATATTACTTTTCTAGCTAATTTGATCATTTAATTATTTTAATATTTTATATTTAAAAAAATAAAATATTAAAGGACAAATTAGATATTTTATCTTTTCTAATCAAATTGTACAAAAATACGACTATTATTATAATAAACGGTGTCACTGTAAATTATTCAAAAATAATAATAATAATAATAACCTTCCTAAACAGTGTTTTTCTTTTACATCACTGTCACGTGCACTTCATTATGGCAGATTTTGCGCTAAATTGAGGAAAACAAATTTCGAAAAGAGTATTCTTTGGCATCACTGTCCCACTTCATTGACCAACTGTTCCAAAGACTTAAAACATGTGTATCAATATTTTATATCTCTATATATATAATCAGAGTTGAGAAAGATTTTGATAGGTTTGTATATTAAACGAGTGCAATTAGTTCAGCACTACTCCCTATTTTACTGTTTTGTATATTAAATGAGTGCAATTAGTTCAGCACTACTCCCTATTTTAGGTTTGTAATTAAATGAGTGCCCTCCGAGCCTCGGACTTCGTCACCCATGTCAGTCGTCAGATTTAGAGTTCAGTACTAAATATATATATATATATATATAGATTAATTGATGGGAAAGAGATACTGAGCACTAGACGCGTTACCATAGAGTAGGGTCCAAACGAATATGAACTTCCTATCCATGAATGAAATGTTCAAGCCACGTACATATTGGATTAGTCTATACCATGTTATTAGTTTGTCCGTCTAATAAATTTATATAAGTCAATTTAACTGATCTCCCAATTCATAAAAGTTGTTTTTAATCAATTTAAATGATGCATGTTCTACCCGTTGATGTAGTTGAACTAATAATTTTATCTTGTCACATGTGCACCCATTGTTTCCGCAGACTACTCAAAGTTGTACGTTGCTCGAGTTTGTTGTTGTTGAGGTTAAAATTTACGCAGTCCGATACGATATCGTTTTCCTGCAAGGAAGAGAGGAGAAGATCGATAAACCTTGACGGCACCGGTGTGGTGCCTGTCAAGAGCTCTCCGACGATCAAATTAGTCACGAATGTCTAAAAAGAAGGCAGGGATCAATAATAGTTTTTACGTCGTCCCTTCTTTAATGACTTGATGCCCTATTTGTGGCTGTCGATTGGAATCAAAATCGTTCCGCTGATATCGATGGTTGACCTTATCTTCCGCTTGTGCGAAATCATAGGAGATTTATTACCGGATTTGTCGGGATATGATTTAATCCTTTTGACCTCCTTTAGTTATCGTAGGATTATTCTTACTTGTTGAACCACGTCAGATTTGATTTCATTATCCTTGATAATGAAATCTAATCAATCTTATCGAGGGTAGGGTAGATTTATATTTTTCCCTATCAGTTGCCCCCCATTCCCAAGCTTGCATGTCTAACTTTGGGAATGTAATAAATAATAATAATACTTTTTCTTCTTTTTTTTTTTTTAAACCCCGGTGAACAGTACCCGCAGGTACTATTCACGTAAATAGTAACTCAGGGTTTTTTTTTTTTTTTCTGCACCCGAGGGAACAGTACTCTTCCTTTTATAAGGGAATAAATTATACGAGTTTCACTCCTTAATAAGGGAATTGAACTTTACGAGTTTTACTCAGCTCGTCCCTTTAGTAAAGGAATTGAACTTTACGAGTTTTACTATCCCTTATTGTAAGGGGATATTAATAATGGGATTCATCCAACCCAGGTCCTTGTAGTACAGGACATTCATTTATTATCCTTATATTACAGGGATATGGATTACGGGATTCATTCAACCCGAATCCTGATAATACAAGATACTTATTCCCTATAGTCCAGGGATATGGATGACGGGATTCATTCAACCCGGGTCCTTGTAATACAGGACACTCATTTACTATTCCCTTATAGTACGGGGATACGGATTACGGGATTCATTCAGCCCGGGTCCTTGTAATACAGGACACTTATGTACTATCCCCTTTTAGTACGGGGATACGGATTACGGGATTCATTCAGCCCGGGTCCTTGTAATACAGGACATTCATTTACTATCCCTTATAGTACGGGGATAGTGCACGTATAAACTAAAAGGAATTTTATTAAAGACCATCATTATTAAAAACAAAATAACACGTGATGGAGTTACCCTCCATTTAAAATGATTAACTAAGATGCCCCTAGTCTTTATTGTGAATGACTTGATAAGGCTAATTCCAGCCGCGAGACAATTTCTAGTCGGTATACTCATCTGAGTCATTCTCATGATATGTGCTGTCACTCTGGCTGAAGAACGATTTCTTATATTTGGTATTATTTTCATCCCTAGCGAGAGGGGCTGGCCTCTTCTTGTCCTCTCCTTCCTTCCGTGCACTCATGGTGTCTTCAGCGTTGATGTGTTTTTGCGCTCTGACTAGCAACTCTATCATGCTGGTGGGAGGTTCTTTTGATAAGGAGAACAAGAATCTGGAGGTTTGGAGTCCTCCTATGAAAGCGGTCAAAGCTACCTTGTCGTCCGCCTCTTCTATCTGCAACATCTCTGCGTTGAATCGGGTGATGTATTCCCGAATCGACTCTTCCTTTTGTTGCTCCACGGTAAACAGGTAGGTAGCTGGCCTCCTATGCCTCTGACCTGCAATGAAGTGGCTCACAAGCTGCTTACTCAATTCTTCGAAGGTGTTGATGGTTCCTGGCTTCAACTTGTTGAACCAAACTCTCGCTGATCCCTTAAGTGTAGTGGGAAAAGCTCGGCACATGATTTCATCTAGCACAACGTGTAAATGCATAAGAGCTTAAAAAGTTTCCAGGTGATCGAGGGGATCTTTGGTCCCATCGAAGCTTTCCAACAAGGGCATCCTGAACTTGCTAGGTAGTGGACATTTCATAACGGCGGGACTGAAAGGCAAGTTGGTCCTTTGTACCAGGTCATCTACGGCGGCAGGACCTTTCCCTTTCATAGCCTGCATTACATCCTCCATTTTCCCCTTGAGATCCTTGATCTGCAAGTCGAGATGGGTAACTTTCTTTATCTTTTCCTTAAGACAGAAGGCTATGCTTTCAGGAGGTCGGGAACTCCGTAGGAGAGATAGGTGAACCACCTCTCTATGTCGGGTTCCCACCTAGCTTTGTTCCACTTCAGTCTCATTTTGGGAGGAATGATTATCCCTCTCTTCAAGATTTTCATTACCTCCATTTGGACTTGAGAGATCTTGTCCTGGAAAGTTTTGTTGAGCCGGTGGAACAAAGTGTTGCAAGAGCGTTGCATTTTGCTGGATCAACTGGTTCATACCCTGACTCAGAGTTTGAACCTGTAGTTCCAACGCTGCAAGCCGTGCCTGGTCGTTTGGGACGTCCAGGTTTTCACCCGACTCTACCCTTTGACCAGATCCCTGCAACGGTGTTCCTTCGGTAACCATACCGGACTGCAAACGTATATACCCAATGAGTAATTAATTGATTCAAGGGAATCGTGATTCTCACAGACGGCGCCAACTGTTGAGGCTGAAATTCGCGCAGTCCAATACGATACCGTTTTCTTACAAAGAAGAGAGGAGAAGATCGATGAACCTTGACGGCACCGGTGTGGTGCCTGCCAAGAGCTCTCCGACGATTAAATTAGTCACGGAGGTCTAAAAAGAAGGCAGAGATCAATAATAGTTTTTACGCCGTCCCTTCTTTAATGGCTTGATGCCTTATTTATGGCTGTCGATTGGAATCAAAATCGTTCCGCTGATATCGATGGTTGACCTTATCTTCCGCTTGTGCGAAATCATAGGAGATTTATTACCAGATTTGTCAGGATATAATTTAATCCTTTTGACCTCCTCTAGTTATAGTAGGATTATTCTTATTTGTTGAACCACGTCAGATTTGATTTCATTATCCTTGATAATGAAATCTAAACAATCTTATCGAGGGTAGGGTAGGTTTATATTTTTCCCTATCAGTTGTGAAGTGTTGTAGCTGTCAAGAGGGTACAAGGACCAACTTTAAAGGCCAACGGCATAGTGATATAACTCACTAAATAAATGTAATTTTTTTTTATGTGACAAAACATGGATTATGTCACTTGGGAAGTCTTTCTCGATAAGAAGATTATTAAATCTTTCAAAATCAGACAGTATGAAGTTGGATAAAAGTGAGGGGTGACAATTCGTGATCACGAGTTATGTAATACCCCTAATTTTAAAGGACAGTTCTGAAATTTGTTTTAATTATTTATGAGCATTTTTAATACTTTTATTTGCTTATTTTAATTAATTAATTATTTACTTATTTGATTTACTTTATTTTAATTCAATTAAATTGTGTTTTCTTTAATTCATTGCTTAATTTGTATTTTTGGTTTGTTATATTAATTTAAATGTATTTCTCAAGTTTAATTAATTACGTGCTTAGGTTTTCACTGTTTTGGTTAATTAGGTTATTTAATTAATTTACAGTGTAGTTATTTTATTTATCTGAATTTAGGGTTTTAGGATTTAACGTTGACCGACTTATAATTAAAGTTGGAGTATGGTTTGGTAAATTGAAGCCTATATATACATAAGCTTACTGGGGTTAGGGTTTTAGAAAAACAAACCATAAGTTACGTCTGTATCACAAGGGATTGCTAAGACACAGAGAGTGAAAGAGGGGGCATAGGAAGGCAGAGCAAGGGACAATTCAGAGACGGCAGTTTAGAGTTTGTAATCTGAAACTCAAAGGCAAGTCTATGTTCTATTCTTTCCCGTTAATTCATGTTCTGTGCATGCCTAGCTAGACTCCAGGGATTTATTTAAAGACTAAAATGGATTAAACGAATATTATATCAAGTCTTGTATGCATGTATGAATTGTATTAATCTCATTGACATAAGAATTTTGCGTAATCTTTGATGTTTTTGTTATTGGTTTCTTCTCGGTGTTTATGTTTAAGTTTTGATTAAGTTGAGATCATGATTATGTACTGATGATTAGTAACTAATCTAGGGCTGAGATTAAACTCTGAATCAAGTAGTAAAACAGTATTCAAATTTAACTGAAGAAATCTGTTTTGAATTGAATTAGTTTAGAACTGAGAATTCTGTAATGGTTTGCTTCAAAAGGGTTGTGTTCTAAACAAGTTAGGATTGGTTAACAATGGGTTAAGATTACCCTAGAACTAAGATTGAACCCTAGAACAACCATTAAGAACCTTACAGAGATCTGAAAAACACCAGAGTCGAAGAAGATGCAGCAGAACGGACGACGGCAACTAAGGGGAAAAGAGCAGGCTCCAAATAAAGGAGGAGCCGGCTCTTTCTACCTTAAAGCCAGCTCCAAAGGAAGGTAGAGCCATCTCTAGCATGCTAAGAGCTGGCTCCTAGGACAATTGAGCAGGCTCTTTTGAAAAAAAGAGTAGGCTCTTTATTCTGAATGAGCCTGCTCTTAAATGAACGCACTCAGCTTGGTTTCTGTGCACTGTTTGGTCTGTATAGGGTATTGGAACTTTGTTTAAGCTGTTTTAAATTGTTGTTGGGTCTGGAATAAACCAGTTATACTATGAAAAATATTAATCCATGATTGGGTTAAGGATTGGAGCAAATTAAGAAATATCGTGTAATACCCCTAATTTTAAAAGGATAATCTCGGTATTTATTTATTTGTTTTAATTATTTTTTTAATTATTTAATTAATTATTTGACTAATTGTTTATGTGTTTAATTGAATTAGGTATTACTTGATTATTTGATTATGTGTCTATGTATTATTTGTATTTATTTATGTATTAATTGTTTAATTAGATTATATACTTAAATGGTGTTTTGATTAATTGTAAATTAAATGTTTTCTTTTCTTTTATTATTTTATTTTATTTTATTTTTCTTTTATGGTTATGGTTAGGAGTAATGGGCTAACCAATTGGGTCCCATGGACTACTTGGATAGGAGGTTGAATGTGTATGGATTATTACCCATGGATAGTTGTGTATGTATATATATATATATATAAAAGAAAGTAATTTATTAATTACTTTTATGGTAACTTGATTAGTAATATTTAATCTGATGTATATGTTTTATATTTAAATAATAAAAATATACATAGATTTGATACATGTTATGTTTTAAGTTACTTTATAATATTATGGTAACTTAAGTATTATTGGATAATCCATTAATAAATAATGGGATATGTATAATTTATTTATTTAATAAAGATATACATAAATTATATACATAATATATTTTACTTACCTTTTTAATATTTTAATATTTAATTTTTTTAAGTTGACTTGGATTGGGAAAAGGGTTAGGGTTATTTTATTTGGCCTATAAAGATATAGCTATAAGTTGTAAAAGGGAGTTAGAAATATTCATATAAAGAAGGAGGAAAAAAACCCTTTAGAGAGAAGATCAAGGAAGAAGAAATTTAACTTTCGATCCGAAAGTTTAAGGTAAGTTCTTCTTCTATCTCTTTCCATTTGATTCGTGTTTCTGTACATGCCTAGGAAATTCTATGATTTATTAAACACATAAAATTAAATAATTATGCATGTTTAATTGGGTTAGAACATAGGTTTTATGAAATTAGTTCATATCTGTTCTTGTGTTATAAATTAATAAAAATGCATGATTTTGATTTGATTTCTTGTGTGAATTTTTACATGTTTAAATTATGTATTTTTCATATCTGTGGAATGATGGAACGTAGAAACATGCCTAGGATTCCTGAACATTAAATAGGGACTAGGTTTGGGTTTTAATAAATTTAAATAGACTCAGTCATAATGATGCTTGCTATTTCAATGTTTTAAACAAATGAATGGATTTAATCTTTCAAAATGTTTTAGCAATTGAGATTAAATGTGTAGGATGAATTGGATATGGAGAATACTTATTTAACGGTATAATAAAATATCATCATATATAAGATTCAGTTTGTGTAGGACATATGATATATGAAGCTTAAATAAATAATAAGTCATTATAACTTGATATCATATTATCATAGTTATTTCTGGAATGTTTGATGTATTTCCTTAATTTTTAATGCACCGGTATGGGACAGTGGCTTTCTAGGGACGGATTAACTTATCAGTTAAGTCCTACCTATTTTATATAAGGGAATGGATTAACTAAAATGTTAAGTCCTACTTATATTTAAGTCAGGTCAGCTGAACAAGTTGAATGACTTATGGAGGATTAATTTATTATATAAGGGAATGGATTAACTAAAATGTTAAGTCCTACTTATATTCAAGTCAAGTCAGCTGAACAAGTTGAATGACTTATGGAGGATTAATTTTTACTGGATAGAATGGTTAATAGATTTTATACATATAAGTATGGTGCCATGATATGAGCTTGAGTCCCAGGATCAGTGGTTAGGGCGCGTATATCGCTAGGGATGTGTAGCTAGATATAGTGTAGTTGTGAACCCTGGTAGGTCTAGGTACTCATGCCCACTATATGTGCGTTTTGCATGTTGCTTACTATTCAAGTTGAGACAACCCTATAGTCTAGTGAGGTTCTTTTAGTGTGTATATATATATATATACGGATTACTAGTTACTGTTGGATTGATTAGGATGTATATGTGTATCGGATCTCTGCTTGGACTGTAGTAGAGTAGAACTTGTTTGTGGGTCTGACCCACCATTATTTTTCAGGTGTTCGTCAGGAGTAAAGGTTGTTCGTGCTGAGCGGGGATCAATCTACTTTATTCTTTCGATGCTACATAGGAGTTCCTTTATGATTTAGTTTCCTGATTTAGACAGTTATTGCTGTCATTTGTTTAGTTTGGATTTTCTAGGGGTTCACACAGTATGGATTCCCGAGTTGTATTTTAGAGGATCAGTTATATCAGAAGAGTTTATTAATTAATGAAAATATATTCTGAGGTTTATTATTAGATTATCATTTTAGTTTCTTGTCAGCATTTCATTTATTCTTCTTTATTCTTTCGTACTCTGTGTTTGTTTATTATCAATTTGTTTTGATATCCTCGGGTATTCG